AAAGCCTTTACATGTTCGTAAAGTTTAGGACATTTAGAGATCAAACAATCAATACAGATTGATATCAATTCCTCATAACATGATGACACTGACAAAGGATACATAACAGCAATATTGTGGTCGTCAATATATGTTGTTTGTTTGCTTTGTTTGTTGGTGCAAAATGTTTTATGGAGAAAACCTAACTTCTGCCTCGCTCCCCAGTCTAACAATGTTTTTCTTGTCTGTGTACCAAGGAGGAAGAAAGCGACGAGAGTTTGCGCCCCGCCCCGCCTCGCACACTGGCGACACGGGTGACTGACCCGATGTGCACAGGTGACGTGCAGGAGTAAGTAGCCTTGAATACCAGCCGCCTCAGCAGATCGTGCACAGGGTACCTAAGTACAGGGTTGTCTGGAACAGCGAGTGCACTTGAAACAGGTGTGTACAGATGACAAAAGACGGTTCGTCCCGAATGCCACACAGAACGCAGACTTCTCACGCTCCTTACCCTATGAGATCAAATAATGATTCAAATCAAATTATTTTCTATTGTACATGCGTAAAGTACATGATCTAACTATATCATATTACACAAATACCACGAAATATAGGTCAGGAATTTAAAAACATTGAAATCCATAAGTCTGTAGTTTCTTCTCCGCTTCTCCTCACTGTGAAGGATTGCAGTACCATTGCGCGCGCGCGCGTGAGTGTGTGAGTGAGTGAGTGTGTGTGTGTGTGTGTGTGTGTGCGTGAGTGAGTGTGTGTGAGTGTGTGTGTGTGTGTGCGTGCGTGCGCACTTGTGTGTGTGTGTGTGTGTGTGTGTGTGTGTGTGTGTGTGTGTGTACGTACGTGCAGCAGGCGGGGATGTGGAATATGGAAATACAAATTTATGTTCAGAATCACGTCACATTTATGTGTTTCTATCTTTCAAGTGGTAGGTGTGCGGAAAGAAGAACATCGAATTAACTGTCCACTCAGGCAACAGTTTCCAGGAAAAGGTGACTTATTTCCTTGTCACCACTTTCGCGCTTCTGTTCCCCTCATCAAGCATGAGCTCCCGTCCACGACGTACTGCGGATATCTGACAGGTTCCCCTTGGGCGGAAACATTCATCTGGAAGAGTGGTTAGGTTATCCACACTGAGCGATATCACAGCCAGACACTTCCTTGTTTGCTTGATGACATTGATACGGTTTTTCCTGAAAATGTGTTTTTAGACGTATAATGCGTTATACAGTGACCTGCCCTTCGTCTGTAAAATTTGCTTAGAACCACCGCTGACGCATTCAGTATTGCCAATGCACACTGTGTTTGCCTTTCATATTGAGAGAAGCACGCTAGTATATATTCTGACTTCCTTCCGAATGCAGCCCATACACATGGTGTACAGGTACTAGTTGTATCCCCGATTTACTCAAAAAGGGGATGATTCCAGAAAGGGGATGATTCCAGTGTGTAATTCAGAAAGTTTTCCAGAGTCTTAGTGGATGTGTGTTTAACGTCCATCTGTAGCCTCCGTATCTTGATTCCCTCGTGCTTGAATTGAACTTGAATCTTGGAACGTAAACTTGATCTATTCGCACGTCGTCACCTTGTAATGCAATCACCCAGTACCTATCCTGTAGTCTTGCCACCCACACAAAAAGTCTGCATAGGCCGGGGAGGCAACTAGTCAGTTACAAGATGGTACATGGTTCCTTTCTTTGTCAACCTTCTAATTAGATTATTGGTGTTTTTGTAATCATAGCGATGTTAATTGTTAGCAAACAACACCTGTTTCTGCTGGGATGTGTTATTGCTTTAGGGAACATTCCGAGGGAAGGGAGGGACAAAATGTTTGTCGACATTTAAGGGACTGAGTGGTGAGTCAATAGTCAGGCAGACACGAACATGTTATAAATCTTAGACCCGAATGCTGGGCCCAGTGGATGTGTGATAGCGTACACAACTACTTAACTGAACTGGTAACACACCAGTTGTGTACAGTAGGTAGATGTAATTATACAAACTACTAGTACGTACATTACTCCGGACTGTACGTTGTGAGACACGCACACAGGGAAGGACCCTACTCCTTTCGATGAGTGTGGTGGGATTTTTAACGTGCTCACTTTAGACTGGAAACGCTTAAAGGGTTTCGGGGTGACAAAAACGCTTCGGATGGGATAACCGTTCCCTGCGACGAAAAACGGTATTTTATGGGGTTTTGCGAAACGTTTCCGAAACCGCCACGGTAGTTTTGTAACCCTTCAGCGATGGGCCTGAAACCTTTCCTGCTATGTCTAAAGAGAAAGGGTTTCGCGAAACGGCATAGGCCATATGCTAATGATATTTTAAAAAGCCTGTGCTTGTATCTCCTGTTATGCTCGAGTCATTTTTTACTTCATTCTACGTAGGCTACTAGCTATCTTTTTCTCGCTATGTCCCTACATGAAAAAGGAGTCGGCAAAAGGCCAGTGAAGGATGTGAAGCTGTCTATCATGCCTGCGCTATTTCCGGCATGGCGAGGCAAGCCCGTGCCCGTCCCTGTACATGAGCCCGCAGTCTCCTTTGATGGGCAAGTACTCGATGTCACAATGCAATAAAATGTGCGTTTTATACATTAGCACAAGAACATAAAC